ATCGACAAATTTCAAGAAGACTGAATATAATTTTCTACCGAATATATTAATAGACAAAGGTCCGAGTATTAATATGTACAAAACTTAAGAAATCTATACATAATATTCCAAATATCAGCAATTTAAATAGTCAAGTCATTAAGTCTGAATGTCGTTATCCCAAAATTTAAAGTTGAGGAAGATCATTCGCTTCTGCCTCAAGAACAAGAGAGTTTTTTTGCAAGTAACCTATGTTCGCCATCATTTTTAGGCGAAGAGGAGATATTACAGGCAATGGCGTCACCAAATTGAATGGTTGACGCAACCATGTAGTCAAAATCACCAAACTGCCCTCACTCGTTGCTTTTATCAGCCCTCCCTCGTAATGAAACTCGTCGATGCGTTGCTTTCCCCATTGCTTATAGGCTTATAGCATGTGCACAAGTGGCATTTCAGCAAATTCTTAACTGTCAATTTATCGAAAAAGCTTTCCAATTTCCATTCGTCAATGCCTGACGGATTATCTAAATGATAGAGTCTCTGCTCAGTAATCGGCCTGAATCGAGAATAGACCGTCTTTTTGCCAATTCTAGGTGAATTTTTCTGTCCAAAATCTGCTCTCACAGAAAAACACACATGTGATTTCATATATGCATGATTTTGAGGTCTTCTGAATGAAATTTGTAGATTGAGAAGCTCGAAGAAGTCGGTAATGGTGCCTCCACCTATCCTTTCCTTGGCTCTGCCATCGGAAACGGGTCGAGTTCTCAGCATTCAGTCTCACACTGTACAGGCATTATTTCAAGCTTACACATGAGTTTTTGTGTTGCATTTAACTTCCTGATTGATATATTTTTCGTGTTTATGTGTTTGTTTGGACTGATCACTCGTGTGCATGCTATCTAGAAATTGAATGAGGAGTTGTTCGATTTTAGGAATGCCAACTTTTTTTGAACTCTTCATGAATTACTGGTTAACTTTTTAAATACTCTTCAATGTCACAGATTCGGTTTTAAGGTTTAACCCAATTGTACTTCATAGAAATCCAATCTCCGTATTTGGCGTGTTTGATCTGTTCTTTTTGGAGGAAAAAAAAACATTTTCAGTTGGTACTGTGAGGAACTTCGGATGAACAAACTGGCTGACAAGAGAGGTGGGAAGGGGCCATCTTTAGGGAAGGATAATTGCAATGGAGTGTAGAACAGAAGCATTGTTTGTCCATGCCCTCTACTGGTACCGAAATAAGCAGTTTTTTTAGATGGCATTTTGAGGTGGGCGTGCCTCAAAATCAGGCATCGAGACAAGGCCTTGAGGCTTAACAAATTAGGCAGGACACTTCTGAAGCATGCACATTAGTAGCCTGTACACTATCAAGTGTCTTGGACTGGACACTATCAAGTGTCTTGGACTGGACACAAAAGGCATGATTTTTTTGGCTCAGTGTTAAGGCATATACCCAGCCAGAGCTCATAATCTTTTCCTTCTTGTTTTAGATTACACTATTTACCATGGTCAGTTTTTTTAAGTTTCACTATTCACCCTGGCAAACTTGTTTTAAATCTCACCATATGTTTGGATAGATCTAGGAATCTACGATAAGGAGCGTACAAATATTCAATAAAAATTTGACCAAAGTACAACTGGGATTGGTCTTTTGTTTCCACATTGATTCACAAATAATTAGCAACTATTAAGTTATATACCTATTATACTCAACATCTTAAGTTGTGCTTGATGTTCTCTCATGACATACAACATATCTATGACAGAATGGGATTCAAAATTTTAAGCAACATCTTTCACAATGAATGTGATCAAGTAACTTGCTAGCCAATCATCCTCCATCCCGTTGCTCGGTTTATTCTTGACAAATTTATATTGCTGAAAATGTTCATTCCACTTCGACCAATGCTTAGCACACTCAGACGTCATTGGTAACTTTTGAAATTCAAATTGTTTTAGACTATCAAGCATAAAGTGATGCAACTGGAATTTCAAACGTGGTTTTCTTGTTGTGTGAAGTCTATGATCAACTCTATCACATCTTTCTTAAATCTGTTCAATTCTTGCACTGAGAATCAACTGGAAATACTTGGTAAAGGGAATCAGCTGTAAATGAAAGCATATCCATAAAAAAATAATGCTTAAAGGCAATCTAATTGCTTTCAGAACAAGAATGATCTCGACAGTGTGAAACGAGCACTCATATTAGGAATATATATTTCATTTTTCACACAATTTTCTTCAACAAAGGAACTTCTCCATCTTCTCTAAATTGTTGAACTTGTGTTTTTCTTGTCGTTACTAGATGCATTGCATTTAATGTATTGAGTTTTTTGTTGCAATGCTAGTCAAAGATAATCAGTATTCTCCATGGTCCCTCTCCTAAGCTGTATTAATAATTAGCTACAAATTAATAAGGTCAATAGCTAATGGTACACTTCAATGGGGGTGCTTCATAGGACCTCGACCCGCCTACTCGGGTCTTGTATGGATATGCTCGAAGGGAAAATCAATGGGCAAAATATATAATTTGAAAATATTCACAACTTATACTAGTGTAATAAGGGATTATTTTCTGCAATTTTAGGGCGGCGGCTGCGCCATTTCCCACCCATCAGAGGCATCATCATATTTTCCACTCTGACTACAAAAGCTACTAAATTTTATTAGTTTGTCTGTCACCACTAAACTGTTACATAAATACTAGAGTGGTTTAAATTCTTATATTTTAGCCCGTGGACAGGTTCCATCTGGAAGCTTGCATTAATGAATGCTACCTTTTTTGGTAGTTATGTATCATCATTTGCCATTAGTTGGTTGTTTGCTGATTAAAAATTAGTTTTTGGTCTGTTACTGGTTTAAATTTTATCGTATATGTGATGATTCATCATGTCTAATATAAACTGAAATTTTGCTGCCGTATATTTTTTTGCTAATAGTTGCTTTTACCTTTTCTCTTATTCTCCAATATGAAAATATTAAGCATTAACGGACCAAGCCTTTTTGCATCACCGTTGCATTTACCTATAAAAAAAAGGTGATAAACTGATGATAAAGAAATTATCATGGGGATAGGCTCGTTTCAAACATGGATAAATCTTTAATTTAAGGGGAGGAATAGAAGGAACAATTACTGAAAATTTATGTAAGAAGTGATATGTATCTGCACTTCCTTAATTGTTCATTTATCAAAGATAAACAAGCAACTATTGCTTTAATCTGATGCGTTTCATCATTATTCAGTCATGAAGTGTAAGTGGGACACCCTGCCTCCTGTTTTAGATTATAGAAGTAACTCATATAGATGTTGGGAGGTAAATGTGGAAGAAATGGTGGGAGAGTTTGTGAGACATTTCGAGAATGTGGTGCTTTGTGGTATGTGAATTTATTCTAGAATTTCTTTTTTGATCTTTAGTGTTGAAGATTCACTCAATTAGCATTATTGCAATGATACTATCGGCATACCTGGAAATAGGATGAATTTCCAAACCAAATGGGTTGTTCCTTTCTTTAAGAGTTGTTCACAAAGCATGAGACTTTTAACACTTCAAAGGCAGGACGACTGCACTACCAAGGATTTCAAGGTTCACACTTGGCATATAAAGCTGACGTAAGAAAGAACAGAGAAGAGTTAATGGCATTTTTTGATTAGACATGACTATATCTGTTTAGATGATGGTAATGATGATTATGTTTGTGGGATTGTATACTGTGGAAGCAGTACATAAAGCATTTGGTTGTTATCTTTATTTTTTGTGAATTCTTCTTTTATACATGCAGTTATATTTATAGCAATGCCATTGCAAAGATTTAAGTACTTGGTTCTTTTCTATGCTGTCATCAATGCATACTATTATCCCTTGATATCCGTGAGCTTATGGGTCGTCATAGTCAATCAATTATTTGTATCATAATCTGAGAAAATAAATGCATAATGGAATATTTTTAACATTTATACCGAGCTCGTTTCTTTACGATATATTTTTCCAGAAAGTGGAGACTTTCTATGTTTCTATCATAATTTGGGATATTGGTCTTTCTTTAATTTATGTCCCTTTATGGTTCTTGTAATTTATGACCATTAATTATTTATTATAATGGATGGAGTTGATTGTCTTTTGCCTTCAAATGTAATACCTTATTTTTATTTTAATAGAGACTGCATCAACATCTATTGTCACTGTTATTCCTCAAATAGGCTGTTTGCATTTCATAATTCTTGTGTTAAAGTCAATTTTAAAGTCCATTTCTCTTTAGGGATATGTGGGAAACAACTCAGCTGTCTTCCCTCTCCAATTACTTGGCTATGATGTGGATCCGATCAATTCTGTACAATTCTCAAACCACACAGGCAAGCTGCTTATATCTTCATTCACATAGTCTGAGGCCTGATATACGGAGCGAGGTTATCTGTGAACCTGGAAAAATTCAGGCATGGAATCCTGGACAATATGTCAGTCAGTTAACGGATTAACTAACTTTGGGATTGTGCAGGATACCCAACTTTTAAGGGGCAAGTGTTGAATGGAAAACAACTATGGGAGTTGATAGAAGGCCTGGAAGCGAATAATTTATTGTTCTACACTCATTTATTGACTGGTATGTGAAATGTTCAATGTTGATTTGCTAAAAAGCTGCTCAGATCTTTGGTGAAGCAGCCCTAAGGCCTTGTTGCCAAATTTCGTGTTCACCATTGTGGCTGTACTTAGAATTTGACTAATATTAACCCAACATCTGAAAAATAGCAAGACACGTGAATGTTTTTGGTCTCAGAATTTCCTGAAAACTAGCATAACATATTTCTATATTCACAAGTGTGTCTATGTATTGAGTTTGTTCCATCTGCTTAGAAATGACTGCTCAGTTGTGTTTAGAGTATATTTTCCTCTGTAGTCTTATTATTATATACATCGATTAATTGCATTTCTTTCTTTTGATCTAACTTTTTGGTGCCATGATTTTTTTTCTGATTTATCTTTCTGTCTTGGTATTCCTGCCCATTATAGGAGGTGCTAAATATGACAGGTTTGTTTGCAGGTTATATTGGTTCTGTCTCCTTCTTGAACACTGTATTAGAAGTCATCAATAAGCTTCGGTCAATCAACCCCAAACTTACCTATGGTGGGTCGATTGCTGCTACAGCAAAAATTACTCCTGTGCTCCTTGTGATTGTTCTCGAGTACATTTCTAACTCAGTCTTAAAAAATATCTTCCTCACAACTTATGGCCAACTTGGGGGCAAAATATGGATGCCAATTACTATGTTGCAAAATCTTATATGAAAGTCCAAATCAAACAACATCACCATATATAGGACTGAGTTGTTGATAATAACAATTTGTTGAATTCTTAGCTGAGAATGTTTGTCATATATTTGAATATTACTCATAATTCTCCTTGATATGCATGTGCTTGTTATATCTATTCTAACTATAATAGGATCTTCTTGTCAGTTTGTGATCCCGTTATGGGTGACGAAGGAAAGCTTTATGTGCCTCCAGAATTGGTATCAGTATATCGTGAGCAGGTAACCCTTTAATTACCCTACCTAAATCCAGGATTTGCATTTAATAGAGACTGTTAGCTTGTGCTGGCTTTGTAACCTGGGGCACTAAGAGGTCTGGGCCGGACAGACCTAGTTTTTTCTCTTGCACGAAGTGGTTTCCCTTAGAGTTGCGGCCAAATTTCATACTTGACAATCAAGTTTTGTCATGTGCCAAGCAAGGGTCCTCAGTTTTCCATTAACACGCTTCAGCATTTAGACCTTATATTGACTACTCGAGCTGATTAAACTTGATTTTGCCTCATGTATGATTTATTTTGTGGATTCATAGTTTATCTTTGTTTAAATTCCACACAAACCCCTGACATTTTGATTAGTTACACGAACACCCTCAGTATGGTGAAAAGTGACCAATGAGCCTTTGGTTCAATGGTACTCCTTGTCTTGTAAAGGCTTTACTTTCTTAAGGTCAAGGGATCAAGTCTCCCTCCCCCCTCCAAAAAAAATACAAAAATAAAAAAAAAGTGTTGTAAAAAGTGAGCCTAGGCGAGAAGCGAAGCGAGGGGACCCTATGTCACCTTGAACATGTCAAGCGAAGCGAATATAGTCGAAGCGAGAGAAAAGCAAGCAAAAATGAAGAAGTGAAAAAGCTAAAAAAGTGAATAAGCGCTTGCTTTAGTGAACTATTTAATTCTACGTCTTCGGATTCTTCTTCTCCTCTTCTCATTTTTTTCCTCTTTTTATGATTTTCTGATTTTGCTAGGACCTCCACCTCCTCTTCTACTCTATTTCTGGTTTTCATTTTGGCTATGTTGGTGTGATGCTGATTCTACTTCCTTATCTTCTACTCTACTTCTATTTTTTTTTTTTTGATGTGTTGTTGTGATATTGATTTTATTTCCTCCTCTTCTACTCTTTCTATTTTATTTTATTTTTTGCTGATTCTGCTGTGTTGTTGATTTTGTTTCTCATTTTGTTGGACCCTCCCCCCTTGATTCTGCTGTGTTGTGCAATTATACTTAGAATGATTTTTTTCTTTGTTATTCTGGTTTTCTGCTTTGTTATGACTGGGTTTCTGCTTTATTATACTTTTTCTGCACTTGTTGCTTAGCTAATTCATTTGTGTTTGTTTTTAGACTGCTCCTGTTTGATTCTACTGCTTGGTTATGCTTAGTTCAATTGTTTTTCTTAAAAAAGATTGATGTAGTAGAAAATCATATAATTTTTGTTGTTGCTTCTTATTTGTAATGGAAAGGATTTCATCTGTGATGGTTGAGTACTAATGACCAGATTTTTAATTTGTGATAGTTTAGATATAAAATATTTTCTTTTTTTTATTGTTCGCTTCGCCTCTCGCTTCTCACCTAGGTCTCTAGAGACTTGTTCGCTTTGGTTCGCTTCACGCATTAAATAACACTTACACATTTATGCTTTGAGAAATGATAGTGAAATCCTTGACATTTGATAATTGCAACATATCAATTTCTGCCATTTAACTGATGTTGCTAAAATGTTAGTAAAAGTTGATGCCACAAAAAAAACTCTAATTCTAAGAATGTCCTCAATGGGCAGTTTGAGTTTGAGAATTTAAGAACAATTTTATGCCTAAAATTATACATGAAAGACAAATTTATCTCGATATTTCATTTCGAATATGTTAACTGGTTCTCTATTTTATTATAAAATTATAAAAATATTCAAACTTTCAATGTGATTACAACCAAATACTAATTATTCAATTTCTTTTCATAATTAATTATAGTTTTAATGTTGACCATGTAATTTATTAATTAACCACAAGATAATAACCAATTCCAGGAATTAATACATTTGTAAGATCTCCACTAATTGCAATTTTTGTACCACCTCCGCTACTGGAACACCAAAAAAGAGCTTTCTGTCTCTCTCTCCCTCCCTCACCTAACATACACACACCACAGGCCAAAACCTTTCCACCCCTGCTCACACTAGCACCAAGAGGTTTGAAAGCCTATAAGTGCAGCACCAAATTGCCATGCACTTCGCTATGGTCTTTGATTTCTTTGTGGCTACCTATACCAGTTATACCATACACCCAAGACAATGCTTTGTATCAATGAATATCATGAACAAAAATATATGATTTGGTTCAAAACCAAAATCCCTCCAAATATTTAGTGTTCTTTTGATGAGTTTTATTGGGGATCTAGTGGGTGGGGGGGTTGGCCATAATGGGGGTGTGTGTGAAGGTCGGGCTCAGAGGTTGGCTGTTATTGGGGGTGTGGATCTAAGAGAGAGAGAGAGAGGGTTGGGTTATGGTACAATTTTGTAGTGGTTTTATTCAGGGCGTGGAGCTAAGAGAGAGATGGATGTATGCAGAGAGGGGGAGGTTGTTGTGCAGTACAAGAAGGGAGGAGGGGGGAGAGATTTGTGAGGGAAGGGGAATCAGGGGCATTATTACGGGGTTGGGTAGAAGTTTGGGTCTATTTATTTATTTATTTTATATCGCATAAAATTAAGGGTAAAATAGTCTTTTTGATGGACTAGTTAATGCCGTCTAACAATTCGGGTCTCACTATCATTTCTCAAATCACACGAGTGACCTGTGTAGCTAACCCAATTGTCAGGGTCCGCGTATAGTGCATCTTTTTTCTTTCAAGGTTTTATATGTAGTCCGAGCCCCGAGGTGAAATATATATCCCAAGTGTACAAAGAGACATGAATCTAATTTTTTTTTGTATAGTTGTTGTTTGTTTGGTGATGCTATGAATAGTTCTAAAATAAATGTTGTAGTTGCTACTTGCTATATCGCATTTTTTTATCTATGGCTGGTTATATCTGAAATTTAAAAAGGAAATTCAGTGAGTAGTCAATACTTCCTGCTAGTCAGTTAACAATTAATTTTTTTTTTTTTCCCAGTTGGGCAAATTATATTTTTCAACTTGATACTATCAGCATGGAAATGCTTCTTTTGCTTAGGTTGTGCCAGTTGCTTCAATGTTGACTCCTAATCATTTCGAAGCAGAACAGTTGACTGGGTTCAGGTATGCATGACATCTTAATGATGCTAAAATAGTAAGTTTGGTGAATATTATGGGGATATTGTTTATGCTCTTTTCATTTTTGAAACTAGCTTACTGTACTAATTAATAGAGTTTTCATGTGTTGATTTACAGTGTCAATGACAAGTGATGACATAAAACAATGGTTTGAACTCACAAAAATAAATCAAAACTTTTTTACTATATTTAATGAAAGGACTATTTAGTCTTTCTTGTGCGTGGAGAAGTTCATGCAACATAGTTCCAATTTGTGTCCGTGTCCCAGACACATATCTCAATTGAAGTTCATGCAATTGAGTTCACACATTTTAAAAAATACAGACACTTGTAGGAAAATGTAAAATGGAAAATGTGACATGACTATCTCATACTATGGAAAATGTAAAATGGAAAATGTGATATGACTATCATACTATGGAAAATGTAAAATTATTTAGGCTTATTAAGATTATACTTAAAATTGACACACAAAAAGCAAAACTAATGACATTTTATTCTAGAAGAGGGCTTGGGAGAATTAATATGTATTTTTGCTTCACTTAGTCCATAAAAAAATGGGTGATTATTGAATTTTATGATCCATTATTCTTATAATTGATTCTTAGCACTAAACATAATACTCATCTTCTTATATCGTACAAAAATATTTGTAAATATTGATAGAAGGAGATAATTTCTGTGCACATGCTTTTGCCATTGTAATGTCTGAGGAGGGTTGGCATTCACATTTTTACCTGAGTGTGAGATAATATTATTTTTGTGATTTGCACCCATAAATTCAAGTTAATGGAGTAACCTTACCATTGAGCCAAGGTCCAGACCCATAAATATTGCTAAAGTAATGGATTTACCAAAACAAATATTTTTGGCATGTCTTGGTCATGTTCATGTCATAATTTTTTAAGAATTTATTTTTTTGACGAGTCTGTACGTTTCTTGTCCGCATACTGTATTTGTGCTTCTTAGCTTTCATTGGGATATTCTCTGGAGTTTAATGCTGCCAGAAGTACAATTTTAATACTATATGGCATAATTACTCTTACAAAGAGAATATTGCAACATATCCAAGCAGTGTAAATTTTGATATGTTCATTGCAATGGTCTTCATGCTGCCTTAGTAAGTTTGATTTGTGGCAGGATTGTGTCTGAACAAGATGGCCGGAAGGCTTGCGACATTCTTCATTCAGCTGGACCATCAAAAGTTAGTTACAACTGATACCTTTACTTCAATCAACATGAAAGTTAAACATCGTGTGTTTTGTATTTCTTTTGAGAAACAAGTTCATATAGTTCTTGGCTGCTTATTTCTTCTCTCTTAAATCTGTGCGTCAGAAGTCTTCTATGTTGCCTTATTTTATATCTTTTTGTTGTGATTATGCTGCCGTGTTTCTTACGTTGTCATATATAATAGCATGTATGAGTACTCAGGCTATCATCATGTTTACTTAGCCCCTTAATCCATTGTGTAAGTTGGTCATCCTAGTTGCTGATGACTATTCTATGAGTCTTGGAACACTTGATATGCTCTCAGAACTCAAGGTATATGGTAATCAGGCCCATTTTTAGAGATGCTATCCGAAGAACCTTATTTTGTTGTCTTGCTTAAATCAAGGAATCAAGGTTCACCAGCTTAAAAAATGAATAGTTCCAATTTTGCTTTTGAGCTCGGTGTTGATATCATGCAAATCAATGGTTGTCTTTTTGTGTTTTGATCAGATATAGAATGAAAAACAAAAAAAGAGAACATTAAGGAATGAGGCATGGAAAAATGATGGCATTCTCAAATTTACCAGTTGAAAAAAATGTTTTTAAGCCTTAGAAAATAAAGAAAAAAAAGACTGTTTAAAATTTTCTATTAACTCTCTTCTGTTTCTTCTTTCTCTATTTCTTTCTCCTCCCCTTCTTTCTCTTGTATTTCCATTTCATTTACTAGTTCTAAGGTTGCCATTTCTACTCCTTGTTTTCCCCAATTTATTAGAGTTATTGGTCATACTAGATATTGCTTGAGCTCGTTCTCCATGTTGGTCCATCTAAATAGGGTGAATTCTGTTTTGTATGCGTCTATTTCGAAGTTCTTTTCATGGCGGGAGATATAAGATAATGGCAAAATAAGGAACCTACTTATAGCCTTTTCAATGTTACTTAGAAACATAGTCTTGACCACATACTATCAGAAAGGCCGTTAGGTAAGCCTAGGCCCACTCCATGCCTTTTGTTGTGTTTTATTCCAATTTGTTTAGGGCACAAATTCAACAAGTACACCGCACAAGCAACGACTTAGGGCCCAAAAGTCTTGTGGCATGTTTTTACCTTTCAACATACTACATGCCATGTTAAGGATTGTGCGGTTCTTTCTTTCGGCAGCACCTTTTTGTTGAGGTGAATATGGTGTGGTCAAAGGATGACGAATACCATGCTTTTTACAAAAAGCTTTGGTGGCTTTTTTTTTTGATGCAAATGCACCTCCTCGTATTCCCTCCAAAGCCGATTCAATGGTCAAATCAAATCTTTCTTTCTTAATCTTCCTTCCCCCCTGGTCGAACCAGTTTTCATTTCCTCCAGCCCCTAGACTCGTTACTTTTAACGACTTCACTCGTTGGTCCAACCTTTTCTTCAAACCCATCACCCCAAGCCTTCTCTCTGACTTGAAATATAATAAGTATCTCTATGTTCCCTTCAAATATGAATACTACGACTAGAGTTTTGTGAAAAAAGCCAAAGCCCCTTATTGGATTTGAATTGATGGCTTATGCCTTTACCATGGCATTACTCTACCACTGAGTTAAAAGGGATTTCATTCCCCCATCACCTATAATTTTATTTGTGGAACTTTTTGCTTGTTTATGCCGTTACGGTAAAAGCTTATATTTTTGTTTGTTACGATGACTATTCATGCCATATGGAACCTGACCTTTCAGCTCCTTAGTTAATTTGAGCTTATTGTATATTTAAGCAAGCTTATCTGTGATTCTTGTGTGGATATAGTATTTCTACATCATGTGACAAATCAGTAATATTGTCTAAGTGTAGAGATCACATCATTTGTTGTTTTTGTTTAGCCTAAAGTAACAAATTTCCTTCATTTTTTAGGTTGTGGTAACGAGCATAAATGTAGATGGCAATCTTCTCTTGATTGGCAGTCATCAGAAGGAAAAGGTTCAAATTTAAGATTTTAGCTGCATATCTCCTGATTCTGAATTATCTTCTCTTGCCAACGGTTACATTGTATTGTCGGGTATAACCCTATGCCATTGTATGGGTATCACATTTTTTTTCTTTGGAATTTAGCTTGGGTGTTAGTGCTTCATGTCATTAGGCAAACTGTTTGGATTTTTAAAAACTATCACTATATATTTGTGAATAATTGGCTCGTTCATATATGTATTTGACCAGCACACCTTTCGGGGTCTTGATGCATTGAAGGGGGACTTGCTGCAGTAGTTGAGTAATATGTTCTTGCATCTCTCTGTCTCTCTCCCTCCTCCCCCCCCCCCCTCTCTGTCTCCTTTTCGTTCATTCTTTCTCGGGATCTTCATGTTTAGTGATGCAGTAGATTGTCTCTAATTTATTTTATAAACTTCTCTGGAACTTGCTTGTGTGGTTGAAATGTTGTTTTGCCCTATATTGATTACCATTCATGTCTATTTTTATACTTGAATATGATTTTCAATGTTCCTCAACCTCATATATGGGCAAAAGTTTGCACTTTTTTTGAATGGTATGCTTATGTACTTATCATGCTAAAGTTTTTATTTGCACTTTTGAACTTAATGTGACAGGGTCAGTCTCCTATGCAATTCAAGATTCTGATACCCAAAATTCCTACATATTTCATGGTATGTAGTTTCTCGAGAGGCGGGGTCTTCTGCATAGCAATATATGGTTGTTCAAAGGTGCTAGGGTCACATTTGATAATAATTCTCTGGCATGAATTATGGTGCTATAAGTGGAATACTAATAAAAGTAGACGTCTTGCCCTGCTTTTGATCAAGAAGTACATTTTAGCTTTTCTTCACTTTACTTCTGTCAGTTTTTTATGAGCTACATGGCACATAACACCTGTTCTTTCTAGAGTTATTTTCTTCTGAGATGGATTGACTATGCAAGGCAAGAAGCAAATAGAGACTCAATTTTTGGCAGAATCGTTTCTTAAAATTTTCTTCGCAAGGTTGATGAAAAAAGTGGCACGCAACTCTAGCTAACACCTTGAGTAACATGATTGTTTGATGCTGTGGGCAGTATGCACATTATCATATGATTTCACTCACTGTGCAGGAAAATTTTCAAACCAAATGATTCCGTATTTTTTTCTGGACATGCATAGGAAGAAGACATTAGAGGTGATGACACCTAATAATTCATGATAAGATGTTTCTGTATAGTTCATGAACTTCGTTGCCTGGGAGCTCAAGAAAGCTCTCGTAGTGAAAGAGGGATGAGAGGGTTTTTGATAAGTGAAATGATACTTATAAGTCTGTTAGTGATGCCCTTAGTCTTTTTTCTTTTTTTCGGTCAACCTTTTCTTTCATCCATTGGTCACTTTTTGTTGTTGCAACTATCTGTACGAGACATTCTGTTCCAATGTATATGGGTATATGGCATGCAGGGAACAGGCGATCTAATGACTGCACTGCTACTTGGATGGAGTAACGTAATCCCTTCAAATGTTTGCCAGATTTGTTCCTAAGCCAATTAACCCATATTATGTTGTTTCTAATTATAGCTGCTTTTTGTGTTGTCCAGAAATATCCTGATAACCTTGACAAAGCAGCAGAGCTTGCTGTATCAAGTGTGCAGGCACTTCTTCTGAGGACATTGGCTGACTATCAGATTGCCGGATATGACCCACAATCAAGCAGTTTGGAGATTCGATTGATTCAGAGCCAGGATGACATTCGCAGCCCAGAAATTAAATACAGGGCTGAGGCATACAACTAAATCAACATGAGCATTGAAACTACATCAATAATCACATCCAGTTAATACAATTACAAGAAACAATTATTTGAGCTTTATTTCAATCCCTAAAAATGTTGTTGTACAATGTGTACAAGACTAAAACAGAATTTTTGTTCCTTGAAGGACAAGAGAAACATGAATGAACCAAGTATGGGTTCTTCTGGAAATGATAAGAGCATGTCAGGTCATCTATTAAACGTATATACATGTCAAAACCAAGCCTTGGAGAATCTTATCTTCTTCGACGACCTCTCTTTTCATACTTTGAATTAGCTTTGATCAGAACAGCAGAGTTGATAACTTGTTCATGCACCAGCGGAGCCCTCTCATTCTCTTCCATCTTGTATGGCTTCGTAGGTGTTACTTGTCAGAGTGAAAGGGTTTAACAAACTTTTCTTTGTGATGAGGTAGTTTGATTATCTTTAAAATTATGAGCCGTTCGACTTCAGATTCTCCTTCAAGAAGGCTCAATCTGGTGGTGAAGACTTCCCTAGCTTGATTAATGCCGCAAGCATTCCTCTCTTTTTTTTTTGGAGAAGGGGAAGGGGAGGGGGATTTGAACTCTTGATCTCAAGAAGATAAAACTTTCATAAGACAAAGAATATCATTGGACCAAAGGCCCATTGGTAGCAAGCATTCCTCTAAACAAGGACACGAACGCTGTAATATCAATGACATAACACATCATTTTTTCCCTCTTTATGGTTAATTAAGGCGCCATACTTCATAATTGACAATAATGAATACCATTATATTATGTTGACATTGTTTCAATCCGTACACATGATCTATTTATAGTGGGATTCATGTCATCTATACTTAAGACTATATCATGTATGGCCGTGTTCTTGTCGACCCAATTATTATCAGGGCTTAGGTCGATTCGGTTGTTTATCCCAACCATTGAAAGACTAATCTATGCTCTTAACTTGGTGACAATTTCATGTTTGGCTGAGAGGCTGCGTGGCAATTTTCATCACTCCGGCATATGTAACCTCCAACTAGCACACTGCTGCCCATAAAGAGCAGGGCTTCATAGTGTAATTAAGGCAGTTGCTACCCATTCGAAGCCATTGGAGTGAAGGCGATTCGAATTGCTTCCACTCACATGCTCTTAGGACACATTGTTGCGACGAAAACTTCAAAAGCACACAATCACCAGCTTACCACTCACGTGGATTAAACCTTGTAACCACCAAGTCTACAAATGCAGGGTTAACATTCAAAATAAAGAATGTACCAGCAAAATAGTAAGTATTTAACCTGGTACATATACAAAAGTTATGCTTGTTGATTATTCCATGTATATGGTTTTCAATTGATATAGGGTATCAAATAATAGTTGGGCCCGTTATTAATCTAATGGTGGTGAGGGACTAAGCCAACAACTTAGTTTAATAAATTAGATTCAAGAAGCATTGTTTGATTGTTTTTCACATGGAGAAGAAAGAAATTGATCATGGCCTTGACATTGCATATGTCCAGTCATTCAGTTTGTTGGTTGGAGAGGCCGACCAGTGGGGAGGCCTGAAGCAAAATAGGATCTTGAGAACTCGAAAGAAAATGATGGGAGGATCCTTCATCAAGGGGATCAAAAAAGAGATAGACATGAGAGCAATCTTCGAGTCCATACTCAACCGGAGAGAGTTCGTTTTCATTCATCAAATGGCTTGGATCATCACCAAATATCAAAATGAGTCGATTTTCTTGGGTTCTAATCTCTCTCTTGAGGTCTACAACCGTGGCATCATCACCGACGTTTATGTAGAAGAGTTTTTCGGACAATATTTCCAACGCCGCCCTCATTTTTTGTCCAGACAATAGTGCATTTAGCCACTCGACTCTTTTTGAGACGGGGAGGAGAACATCGTATGCACAACATGAAAGGTGGTCACAAAGGCTGCATTCTCTATAGTCAGTTTTTGTATCATGCCTATCAAATGGACAGTTGTTTGTGAGTTTAAGCAAGTGAAACTAACTCTAAAAGTTACATTAAATGTGTTCATGAACTACTCAGTAGATTCCGTAAGAGTGATTAAGGGAATGGTCTCGTTTGGGTTCTCAATTTTTTTGCTGAAATGAGATTGAAATTAGGGAGAAAGAGATTGGATTACAAATGGAATGAATTCACACTACAATAGTGTCACCAATGGCTTCATTCCTTTTACCATGAATAATTTCTGGTAACTGGTAAGTTTAGCATGAGTGAAACAAAAGCAGCTTTGGTATTTAAATGAAGATGCAAAACCATAAATTTCACTCAGAGATCCGACTTCTTTTAGACCAGCTGCTCCAACTAGATATTATTTGGACATGTGACTAACAACGTAAATTTGGGGCACATGCAATTACCACTGTATTGATTCCAAAAACTAATTTGGACTGACAAATTCATGCAACTCACAAAAACATTTGGCATGCAATATCCTCAAATCCGTTTTGATATATCGAACAGTTTAAAAATTTTAAACCTTATAAACTTGTGTCGTTGGCCTCTTCTCAAAGCCATGATCAAACACTTCTTTTAAGTATGAAAAAAGACGGATTCTATTATATCATTGTATCTCATTTTGCTTGCGAGATTTTAAAATGGTGTCCAAATGGCGACTGAAGTGTCAAAAATACCTTAGTTGTTCTAGTAGCTCTTTTATTTAGCGCAGGGAAGGTGGATGCTCTATCGGACAATAGCTTTGGGCTATTTGGAAGTTCTCGCATCTCTTGGGGTCTTAATCATCTGAAAACTTCGTTTGTCACTTAAAGAGCAGGGCAAGGTGAAGTGCACATTTAGTTCCCAACCTCTACAACTTTCTTCAACAAATGATTGGGGACTGCATAGATATTCGAATTGCCGGTCAGACTCTCTGGTATGGATGCTCAGAATCTGTAATCCCTGCCAGTGCGAAGTTTAGTGAGAGCTAATATATACATGATTACCCTATATATGAAAAAATTGTTTCTGTGATTCGACCTGTGATACTCAACTCCAAGTCAACAGTGTCATCCTTTTATCATGGTGTAAAGTATATTGTGATTTTATATTGCATATGGGCATTTGCAATACTTTTTTATTTTCCAATTGAGATAAATAAATAAATTAGGGAAAATTTAAGAAGTTCCATAAGAACAAGAGACTTTAGTTATAAAGTTCTCTAGTAAGAAAATGAGAAATAAAAGGCTACAAAACTTAAATCATCACAAAATCAAGGTCAAGCATCCAATGATTCTTCATGTGAGTCCAAAAAACCAATTTGATTCATGAATCGCAATATCAATCTCATTATAGAAGAGAGTTGTTCTTGGTATTATAAAATATATGACTTACTTCACAGAAATTTAATGAAAAGGCAAAGAAAATCTCAGGTAAGCTTTAAATTTTCTTAAATAGTTCTATTATTATCCGATTTGACTATGTAGAACATGAACAATTAAGTACAATGACAACTCCTCTGTCCCCCATATGGAGTGCCTGCAAAAAAAAAAAAAAAAAACAAGTCAAATGTTTGAGTTCTGCCCAAATGAATGGCTTCATACTCCTTTCCTCACAACAAGAGGAGAGAAGAGAGGAATTTCCTTGGAATTTAATTGTTTCTATAAACTATTTTAACTAAATTAAATCATATTTTTATACCTAAAAGTTAAAGGACTCATGGGGTGCAATCCAATTATACAGAAAGCCTATAAGGGAGAGGAAACAACCTCTAAGCCAAATCAAGTCATCAAGGCAACAATGTTCAAGCATCCCAACCCAAGCCGAAGACCACTTAAACACAACTGCCAAATTATATTGCTTCAACCTTTGAATTGATGGAAGATGCCCCCATTTATGTGATTTATTTGCTTCTAATTTTTGTCTTGTTTGAGCATTCAAAGTCTCTACAGGCACAAGTATGTCTTTTAAGCGACCCTTAATCCATTCATGAACATAGTTCTGGGAAAGGTGCTTGTAACCACCACAAATCTGAATTAAATGACCTTTCACCCCTATATGTACATCTGAACAGTACCTGCAAACAACAAGGCCAACTAAAAGCTCTTCCCACCATTGAATTGAGGCCCACACTTTATCTTGTTTCTTTGCTTCTAAATGCACCACCTAAGCTAAAAGCATAAGAAAACCTATCTATCTCCCAAAAGTCATCAACAACTCTGCTGCAACACTACAATGAAGATGATGAAACACTATCTCTTCTACTCAATTGACAATTTTGCAGATTGTTAAAGCTTAAGATTAAATTTGTTAAAGCTTAAGATAAGCACAATGCACAAGGCTTTGTGGATGGTTGGGAGGATCAAAGGTGTGCAGTTTAATTGAATCCATAGCACGTAACTGGGATTTTGATACAAAGCAATCATATAACAAAGTACAAAAAGAAATATTCAAATTAGGAAAATGCTCGAGTCATATAATGAGTGACTGAATGACTGCATATTCTTGACTGATTCTGCAACAAGCTCTGCCTGACCAAATCTCCTAACAGCCAAAATGATGCAAAAGGAGTATATTTTGGAAGTCAATTCTTAACAAAAAATAATGGCCCCTTGGAACAAAATATTGTCTGAGGAATTTTGCAGCTCCCAATTGTTTGGAAACAACTACATAAATACTTTTTTTAATCACAATTTCTTATAATTTTAAAGGGTATATAACAATTGATAAATATAGTATAAAAGGGCAGTCTAGTGCATGGGACTTTCACCACTACAAGTTTTGGGGACGTATTTTTTAAACTCAAGTTCTATATATCTTACTAAAGTATAAGCAATTATAGCTTTTTTTACTGCCCCATTCCTAAGTCATTTTAGTCTTCCACTCCCTCTAGTTTCTATCAAGAGCGATCGCCTTGTCACTCTTACTATTTGGTTTCCTTGTTGGGTTTTTTGTATATGTCTAAATTATCTTAATCAGTTTTCACCCAATTTATCTCCAATAGGAAGTAATCCTACCCTCTCATACATCTGTTCATTTCTAATTCTACCTTTTCTTATCTTACCATACATGTATGTTAATATTCTCATTTTAGCTACCGTCATTTGAAAGTCAAATTAAGGTTACATTGTTTTGCGAGTGCCTTGAAGCTCGAGTTTGTACTTGAAATGGTGGAGCTAAACGAAGTAAAGTTTAGGTGAAAAATAATCGTCATGACAAGGTTTGCATATATTCTGGCACTGTATCAACAATTCAGTATAGTTACAAAGCAGTAATAAACATGGTCTCCCCAATGGCAAGCAAAACAGATGGAGCACCAAAACTGCATTCATGCCGAAAACAATAGTGAACATGCATTTCAACAGTCTAACGCAACATAGAGAGAGAGAGAGAGTGCTAATTTTCCCATTATAAGGACGGAAAATGTTTATGCTTCCCCTGAACGAACAACCATCAAGAATAGCACAAAAACCTCAGATTGGTGTCTTAACCTAGCTGACATTATATGAATTAACCTCGATATCGGGCATATCCTTATTATTACACTAGTGCTACAATAACCAAAACACTAAAAGGACTTGGATGCTTTCATGAACGAAATCATGTCTCCAAACATTTTCTTGTACCCTCCAAATAACTTAAAATTTAAGCTCATTGCATAATTAAAATTGGTTCCATTTAGTGACAAGGATTTTCCAACATTCTAAACACACTAGATCTAATGGCCAACTAGCATTAGGCCATCAGTCTTTTAGTTATTCTAAGTCCAATCAAACTATCAACTGCCATTCTTAGAGCTCCCACATATTTTTTTCCAAACTTGCTAGTATATGAGATCGTTAGGAGCCCAGCGAACAACAAAATCATATAACCAATTCAAATCTCAACACAATATTTTGTGCCTCCATTTTAGCACTATAATACAAGCAACCACGTACCACAAGTCCAAATCAATTTACAGCCAAGAAACAATTTTCACTATTAGTACACATAATTCAACAAATACGCAGGAACCAAATTCAAAATAAACACGTATAGATATTCAGAGAGAGAGAGAGGGAGGTGGAGTGAAATTGCTTGCAGACCCAGAGACAGAAGAGTTGGAGAAGGATGGAGACGTCTTGATCGAGAAGGGTTCTAGCGGTGAGGATATCTTGAGCCATTGAAACCATGGTTTTCACTGGGTAGTCTTTTGATTCTCAATTCTCTTGAGAATCACTGGTCTCAGCTTCTTCAAGTCCACCAACTCTTAAGTTCTTTATTTGAACTGTAGGACGGTGACACCCGATCAAGCCTTCGAGCATCAACGTACTGTACCATAGTTTTTGATTCCTCATACCAAGTTCAAAAATTGTAAATTGTAGGAGGTTCTGCCATCCTGATGGAGTGAAGTTAACCTCTTTGGACATCTGTCCACACACAATAGATTTTGGATCCCCAGAAAACATACCAGAGAAGAGAAGCCCCTCAAATGACTCACAAGAGACGTAACGTAGCCCATGCCAGTTCTTCACCGACTCGAAGGCTACCCAGAAGTCTCCATTGGAGGCAGCAATTGAAGCATATAGACTAGAGAGAGAGAAGTATGATTAATAAGAAGCAGCAACCAAATCTAAAGCGAGAGAAGAGAAGGGAGAGGGATCAAGAAGAATGAAGAAGTTATAGGAGGAGAAAGGGAGAGATATAGAAGTTACTCAAACTTCAGGTACAATATTTCCCCCTCGGATGCTTTTACCAAGAGCAAACCTAGCACGTATGAGGATTCCAAATCAAATGATGGATTAGAATCTGAGGAACGTGAGCTATCTTTGGCCAGTCCTCGCCTATATCTTTCTTGCAGCGCCTTTCCAAATGTTGACAATCTTCAATTTCCAGTGTTTTTAGTTTATGGAGGCACCGCAGCCCATCTGGCAAGTAGAGCAGGTTAGGGCAACTCCAAATTCTCAAACTTCGAAGCCTATTTAAATGTTGGATGTCTTCGGGCCAAGACATCATCTCTGGACATCCATTTATGTACAAATCCTGGAGAGCTGTCAGGTATTTCACTCCGTCAGATAAACAACTTAGTTTCTTGCAGTTGATAATGGACAATGATGTCAGGGAAGACAAGCCTTGTAACCCTGTCGCCGGTAAGGATGTTAGGCTGTCACAATTACTTAACTCTAGTCTCTCTAGGGTTACGAGATTTTTGAGTCCTCTGGGTAAATGTTCAAGATTGGGACAGCAACGAACCTCCAAGCATTTTAGAGCAGACAGATTATCCATCAAATTAGGAAATTTCAAGCCTGGATAGGAACGTATGGTCAACTCCTTCAGATTTGGATGAGGTTGGAGACCATCAAGAATTTCTTCAACATTATCTGGTAAGTTGTCTTTCGTGATGTCATCGTCCCAATTCAAACTCAGAGCACGAAGATTATGCTTCTTGTTTAAATTGGCACTTCTTGCGTCCTCTGAATTTCTTACGTTTTTGAGTCCCATGATGGTCAACTTACCACCAAGATTTAATTCTTTCAGCTCGCCTATTTGCTGACCATGCTGTAGACCCACAATAAACGTGCTTAAAGTTTGAAGGCAAGTTAATTGCCCCAGTCCAGCTGGCATACAAGTAAGAGAAGCACAACCTCTAATGTCCAGACATACTAGATTTCTCATTTGCTTCATACTTTTTGGCAATTCACGAAGCTTAGAACAATTTCTCAGCTTCAATGTTTGCAAGTTTTGGAGATAAGTTGTTGATTCTGGTAAAGCCTTCATCTTATTGCAGGACATGTCAAGGTACCTAAGATGCTTCAAATTCCCTATTGAAGATATTAATTTTTCAATGCGAATCCCTCGAACTGCCAACACCCTCAGGTACTTTTGTTTTGAGATATAGGTAGCCAAATTATCCATGCAATTGACGTCTGGCGTTGAAAGTACAATGAAGGAGCGCAAAGATTGCTCTGCAGGCATATCCTTGCTCTCAGGATTACTCATATAGAAAGACAAATGACGAATCTTTTCTGGGATTTTCAGCACCTTACCATGCTCCATTGTACAACATTCTCGTATCATAATAGACTGGGCAAGATCATGCATCAAATCGTGCATTTTACACGTCAAGTCACCTTTGTAGTTTTCCTTGACATCTTGAAAGAAAGACCTGCAAACCAGATCATCGAAACACTCATGAGCCATAAGAAGTAGATTTGTTTGTCCTTTGGATGGAATGAAGTTGTTTGCCATCCACAGCTCTAGCAGCATGTCCACCTCCATTTCATAGTCTTTGGGAAATATAGAACAATAGGCAAAGCATTGTCTCAAATATGGATGTAAATTGTCATAACTGAGCCTTAGGATAGGTAAGATAGCATTTTTAGAATTCCATAAATCCCAAATATCACTTTCTTTCACAGATAACCATTCACTTATGTTGCTTTTAAACCACATTAGGCTTCCAAGGGCTTTTACTGCAAGGGGCACCCCACCACATTTCTTCACTATTGCTTTGCCGATTGTTTCCAACTCTAAGTTTTCCTCCCTCCCATTCCCAAATGCACGTCGCTTGAATAAGGTCCAAGAATCATCGTCCGACAAATATCCCAGGTGATATATTGGAAGCGTAGCCATCATGTGAGCAACTTTCACAATCCTGGTGGTTACTATAAGCATACTTCCTTTTGATCCACACCTCAATACATCTTTTAGTCTATCCCACTTCCCATTTTCTTCGTTCCACACATCATCTAGCACAAGTAAAAATCTCTTCCCCCTCAATCTTTCTTGGAGGCGTCGTTGCAGCAGATCCAATTCTGAGATATTGCACCCAACACCTTGTATATAAAAATTTTCACAGCTTAGACCGCATCTAATAAAAAAACAATAACATGTAAAAATAATAATGCTATATAAGTATATAGCAGTAAGTGAATAATACCTAAAGCAAAACAAATTAGCTTTAACAGAATAGTAAGTGTACTGAAAAGCATACAAGTTAGACTAGATGTAAAAACAGAACTTAAATAATAAAGTGTACAGTGGTGTGAACAATAGTGAAGAAAAACTTACTCTTGCATCTACTATTCAATATCTATCAAATGCCAGATGAACAGTACTTTATTTAACAGGAAAAAAAAAATAACATGTAATTTAAAACTTGATAAAACAGGATATGTATATAAGTTAAAAATGAAGAGTTGGCTTGCAAGTCCAGAGAAGCATTTGATCATTGGCCTAAAAGGCTAAAACGGCTAAGCATCCTCATGTGAAAGTACTAACGGACTCAAGCAACTTTAAGATTCAATCCAAATGCCCACGGCAGTACTTCCTCAATAGTCATGTCTACCATAAAGTAGAGGTGAAATTGACTCGAATCGGATTGCACAAAATAATCTAATTCAAGATAATAAAAATTAGAAAATTCATGAAAGAGTCAAAGCTATCAAAGTTGGGGGAAGAGACGTAAGATCCCTTACAGCAAAATGAAAACAAGTACTCATTTTTTCCTATGGTTTTCAAGTACTGCTCAAGACCCTTCATATAGGCAATAAGTGAATCAACTCGAAAATCTCAGTCATCAAACCATTTACCACTCTAATGTTATAGACTTGAAAAAGTTCATAATATTTCTTAAAATTTTTACCGTTAGGCTACTCATTTGAACAGTCAATACTCATGTAACAAATGAATAAAATCCTGCAATAACTTGAACATTAAACATTCAATGGTACTCCTTACTTTGTGAATGTTTTGCCTTCTCGAGGTCAAGGTCAGCATTCAAGTCCCTCCCCCTCCCCCTCAAAAAAACATCCAAATCTACCTGAATATTTTATAAACTTCAAATTTTAAAATAGTAGAAACTGAAAATTCAACAAGAAAGTTTTAAATTTTATTTTTATTCCAACGCACCTTCTATCAACTCGATGATTGCCTTGGTCAGCCGTTGTATGCTGAAATCATCAGATACACACACCCAAATCCTCATCTCAAAGTGAGCCTGTACCCTTGGATCATTGTAGACCAACTGAGAAAGTGTGGTCTTTCCAAGTCCCCCCATACCCCATATGGCGTAGACAGATAGATCATCTTGATATCTCAAATTGGAAAGCAACACATATACTATCATTTCTTTCTCCTTATTTCTACCGTAGATTTCTGACTCAATCACAAGGGAGCCAGTTTTTCTTCCCTCCATATCATAAACCTGTGAATCTATAACACCCTCTTTCAAGTGGAACTTAATTCTCTCCCCTGCAATGGAGTCTAATCTCTCGCGTATATCTTTCACCTTATGAGCCATTCTTAAGCGGAATACGGAAGGATTTCGAGGCTTGAAGAAGGCACTTACTTGGTTTATCCCACCTCTTCGACGGTCTACCCTTCGGTTGAGAACTTCTGTGGCAAACTCGTCCAATAGATTGTCGGCATCATAGGCTGCATCCTTAAGCTTACTCAGCCAATCCTGCAGAGCGGCACTCTTGGTTTGTTTGGCCTCGGCATCTTGAAGCACAGCTTGGATTGTAGTGAAAATACTCTTAAGTTTCTTGATCTCATTCTTTAGTCCCCAAGCTAACCCAAATTCTTGCAGTAGGTAAGACTTCAAGTTTCCCAAGATGGTACTCACAAGGTCAGAAACAAGTGCATCTGCCATACTCTCTCTTTGATTTTGGAACTCTACCCAGAAGGAATTTGAGATCAGAAAGGATTGGACTCTACACTGTATTGTTGATCAACCAATATTATTGCTCACACTTTGGCAATGGAAATGAATGAAAAAAGCAGTATCAGTTCCCATAAAGTAAAGCGACCAATATTATAGCTCACCGTGTGGAGCCCAAAGGAACTTTAACAGCCACTAATTCTATCCGAGTGGCTATGGATCAAAGAAAAAGAAAAAGAAAAAGAAAAGATTAGGATAAGATCTCAACCCAAACCCTCCATTGAATCTAAAGCCAAAACTTACAAACTTAGTTGAAAATGAGAGCTGCCTAACTAGTAACCACTAAAGCAGGCACAGAGCAAATCCACTCAAAATTGGATCAAGATCAAGTCTTAATGAACTAAATTGGGATTGTACAATAAGAAAATTTTGGAATAACAATGCAGTTTTTTTTAATTATCGGAGTACCCTCTTTTTCACGCAATACTAATCGAAGTTTCCATTATTTTGTGCACGTGACAAAAAAAAAAAAGATTTCAAATTTCAATCAAATTTCTCCAACTTTCAAATGTTCGGTTGTAGATATCAAAAGAATTCTCTCATTATTGGGCGATTTCATAATCGATATTCCAATTTTAAAACATCATAGAAAGTCATATTTATATCAAAGTAGTTTCTAATGCGTGTATACATATATCTGTATATCTTTATAATAGTACTTAGTTGTATGAACTCCAAATCTTGAATACTAATTTTTAGATTTTTTAAATAAATTTTATTTTACACTTTGGCATCTCTCACTCTCTTTATGAGTTCTCAACTTTGTTAGAAACCTACTCTAACCAAACTCCCAACCCTGTTAAAACTACCCGCTACCCTTACCTATCTTTTCTATCGAGTATTAGATTTTCATAATGTTGAATTATTTAATAATCATACATTGATCTCACCAAATTAAATTATTCTTTTGGCTTATATAATTAATTACTCCCACAAAATTACTTTAAATTTGAATTTTTAATCTTTCTTAATTTAGCATAATAATAGGTAATTTTCCATTAATACTAGGGTGGGGTGAAAATGAAGGGTTACAATATGCGGTGGAGGTGGGGGTTATGGGAGAGATTGAAAATATAATGAATTGCAAGGACGTCACTAGTATTTTATATATATTAGTAATGCACACGTGCGTTACACGTGAAAAAATTTAGATCATTAATTCATAATCCTTGAATAGAATATGAGTAATAAAAAATTAAGTTTGATAAATTTAAAATGATATTTCATTTAGATACGTATATGCTTAATATGTTTTATTAATTTATGTATACGAAAATTATTCACATGTATTATTATTACGTTAAATTTGAATAAAAATGAGATTAAAATTGCATCTTTTAATAATTTTTGATCCATCATGCAGCTATACTTGTTGCATCTTTATCAATTTATAAAAATATAACAACAATCAAGATTGATTTATTTTATATCTATTTTAATACAATGATACAAAATTAATTTCATATTTCCCCCCCCCCAAAAAAAAATGTCATCATCTCTTTATGGCTCCCGATATTAGACAACGTCACTAACCTTACCTATGTCTTTTTTTTTTGTGTTATACCTCTTTCTTATTTTTCCTTTGTTCTCTATAATTTTAAAATATGTAATTTTTTTTAAAAATAAATTATTAGTTAAAATAAAAATATTTCACCCTTAATACCCAATTTTTAATATTACAACCAACATAGAAAATTTTAACATAAACATAGAAATTAATAAACTAACATCAATGATGCCGGATATTCGATATGTCACACCAATCTAATAAACTAAAACATAAAAATTAATAAACTAATCTTAATTATACCAAATACTCGACGTACCACACCAATCTCTTAGAAAGTTGCTTGACATTAAATAAAGAAAAATTAAGTGCCACATAAAATTTAAACGTAAACATAGGAATTAATAAACTAATATCAATTATGGCCACTAATTTCTTAAAAAGTTATTTCACATTAAATTAAGGAAAATTAAGTGCCACACCAATGTCAATATTCATTAAAGCATAAAGATAGATACAAATGGGGGAGGGACAGAGTTAAACTTTCAATCTCATTAATCGAAAGAGAGAGAGGGGAGGGAGGGAGAGATGACTACTATAACAGTAAAAAAAATAGTTTTCAATTAGTTGATTAGTTTAGCAATTATTTTATTAGTAGAATTCTAGAATTCTTTTAGTGGCAGTAGCATAGTCAAAATAGCACTTAATGTTAAAAACTGGTTTTCTATTACAAGTAGGATTGTTATGTACTTTATTTTGATGGTCTCGTCTAGCTGCTACATGCATTCTGTCATGTGTAAAATGGACAAATTCTTGTAAAATGACTAGTCAAATAACATAGGGAAAAAACAATGATGACTAATCAAATAACAGAGAAAATTAAAAAAAGGCTTACAGAATGGAAAAAAAAAAAGAATGTTATGACAAGTCATAGATAAAATTTATCTACTAAGTCATAGAAATAAAGTTTATCTAGTCTAGCTAATATTTTAATAAAGTTTGTCTACTAAATCATAGAGATAAATTTTATCTAGTTGTATTTATCACCTAAAAATTAGTAATATGTGGTATTAGAATTCTAGTTGAGTTCGTCGAATTGAGTTTGCCGAAGTGAACGGAAAAGAAAGAATGTTCTAGTAAGTCATAGAGATAAAGTTTATTTACCAAGTCATACTAATAAAGTTTATCAAGTTAATATTTTGATAAAGTTTATCTACCAATAAAGTTTATCTACCAATAAAGTTTATCAAGCTAATATTTTGATAAAGTTTATCTACCAAGTCATAAAGTTTATCTAACTAATATTTGGGAAGTCAAATAGGTATGAAAGACAGAAACATATCTGGGTATAATTGATTTTATAGTAATAATTAAGGGTAAAATAGGAAATCAAAAATTTTTCATAGATACTGACATTTATAAGTAGTATAGATATAGATATAAATAATAGTCATTACCCGTGCCTGAAGGCATTATATAACCAAAAAAAACATCTTAAACAATTACTCAAATTTTCTTTTAAAATGGCTCGAAATATATTGTTGACTATATCCTCCATATTAATGAAACTATCATAAAAATATATAAAACCCCTCCAAAACAACAACATATATACAAGTGACTCTGGAAAAAAAATAATTATCAACAAAACCCATTGAAATTTATAATATTTAACCAATAAATAAAATATTGATCATTTATAGGACTTATGAATTTATCACATCTACTACCATTCAACCCAATAACACAATATAATTATAAACTTAGCCATCATATATTCAATCACTCTACCCCTCTGTAATAAATACCTCAAGCTAAAAAAAATATTAATAGAACACAATTAAATTCACAATCTTTAAGCGATAAATAAAATCAATAAAATCTTTCTCATTTATAAAACTAATGAATTTATCACCAATATCACCGTTCAACCCAAATGACACAATATAATTATAAATTTAATCACCAAATGTCCAATCATTTACATATAAATATACATAGAAACACACTCACATACATTTATTTTTTTATTATCAGCAAACCCTTGTAGTCAGTAACAGCTTTTATTGGAAATACAATAATTCAAAATTTTAAAATAAAATAATAATAAATTGATGTTTAATTAAAAAACAAGGGTAAAAATCATGGACACTTTAAATTTTGGCAATATTACACGGACACCTCCTGACATTGTATAAATAACACTGAGACCCCATGATGTTTGAATTCATTGCACAGATACCTCTTTGCCTAAATTCTATCAATGTTGCTAACGAAAATTGATAATTTCAGCCCAACAAACTTTATTATTTTTAAAATTTCTCTTCTCCAAATTTAGTACCAAAAAAATTAAAAATTTAATAAAATCAAATAAAATTTGATTTAGTACCCAAAAAAATTGATATAATTTAATACTCAAAAAAATTGATTAAATTAATTTTAATATTTATTTGATAACAATAAAAACTAATTTTAAATTAATTCGACAAATTTGAATATAAATTAGACAAAAATAAATGTCAATTTTTGATAAAATTATATATTAATTTACAATTTAAGGTTCATTTCGTGTTGAATATTATTTGGTGTTTATAGTTAATGTTCTATTTTTTTTATATTAAGTGTTATTTACAAATTAAGAAGCAGGTGAAAAAATACATGTCATATGTATAAAAACTTTGAATTAGTTTCATGAAATAAATAATTGTATAACATGTAGTTTTATTTATTTATTTTTATATTAAATGTTATTTACAAATTAAGAAACCGGTGAAAAAATACATATCGTCATATATATATATATATATATATATATATATATAAACTTTGAATTAGTTTCATAAAATAAATAATTGCATTATATGGAGTTTCATTTGTTTTATGGAGTAAATAATAACCAAAAAAAAAATAGGAAAAATTAAAAAAAAAAGAGATAATAATATGAGAGAGAGTGAGAGAGAGTATAAGATAGATAGATAGATAGATAGATAGATAGAAGATAGAGAGAGTTACAAGAGGGATGAGAGTTTTAGAGTTGTAAAAAGAATGAAAGTCTAA